TCTGAAATAAGCCATTATTGTCTTGGTTTTCAGTACTCTTAGGCAGAGTCACCATAATGGCTGAAATTCTACATCTTTCATGCTTGTCAGCCATTTGAATGAAACCGGTATTGTTCTGAGAACACAGCATGGTACTTTATTGTTTTTTTAAAATGTTACAATTTGTGCAAAGACTCAACTGCTGAAAAGTGTCCTTTTAAAATATGAATTACAACAAGGTTTTGTTGTTGTTTTCTTGTTTTATATTTCCTGTTGAAGTTTTTCTATTTTTCTTGCACACCGTAGTAAAAAAAAAAAAATGAACAGCTTAAGCGGCAGTTTTCGAACAGGTAGTTTATTCCCCTTCTTTAAATTCCTGCTGAAATTCTGCCATGGCTGGCAATATAGTATGAAGACCACAGTTCATTCAATCCGCAATTATACGTGCTGTCTATCGTAGCACTTCCCAGATTAATATGCAAATTGAAACAGTACTCCATAGGACTGTAGGGCAACATTTGGAAAAATGTTACTGAATCGCCAGTTTCAAAGGGGAAAAAAATATGTAATGTCCCTCTTTAAAAAGAATGCAGACTGGTTACAATTTGAATAGAAGGAATAAATACAGCTAGTGATGGGATATGTGCTGCCCTTTCCTGTAGGATTGAAAAATCAGGTGTGTGCTTAAGATATCGTTCTTAAAACTGCCTGTGGCTTTCTGATTCACAGTTTTTCTGTCTGCTGTGTGACAACTGGGAAATAAATTGCTTTTTGCATGCCACCTTGTGCCACTGAACAGGCTTAGCCATGTCCATTTTTTTTAGTGAAAATAGATTACTCTTTGATCTGGTGTCTCTGTAACGTTAAGGATGGAGGCCTCTTTCGCTCCTGCTCAACCAGAAGATGCGAATTTCTTAAGGTAGCCCGTGAAAGCTTCACAAATAGCCCAAACTTGATCCCTGCTAGAATATCACTTGTGAAATATACTCTTTAGTGACTTGAAACAATGGTTTGAGATCGCTTTGGCCTTTTGTGTGAAATTGTGGTCCCTCAGTCATATGGTAGCTTTCTGGAGCTTGGCAAAATAGTTTTCTGTCATGATTTGAAAGCGTTTGAGTCAACTTCCAAAACTGATTTTTCCCTCTACCAATTCACCAACAGGAACTCTTTTTTTCTTCCCTATGTATTAATGTATTGTATGTTTTATTTAACAGCTCGCAAAGCTTGCAGGTGTCATTTGGGCATTTTAACCAGTGCTGCTTTGCATCTGAAATCGGGAAGTGGAAATTAAGTTGTGTTCTAAATTTGTCAAGTGAATGCTTGAAATGCAGCTAAAATCTTTGACATATCTTGCTCTACTATTTGCTGCAATTGGCCTTTATTGAGGGTGCTCAATAGTTTTCCTATAATTTTAAGAAATGAATATAAAACTACTCCTTTTCTATCTGACAGCTGAATACAGGGTCCATCTATCATATCAAACAATCCTAACCATTCAGAGGAATGACTTTTAATATCACTGAGATTTAAATGTCATTAGTTGATAGGCCTATCTGTAGTTCCTCATGCTTAAAGAGGGCTTGACCACTGTGTAGAGCAATGCGAATTTGAGATAGGGGATAACATTTTATTCACAGGCTGAAAAAGCAAAATCTTACCAGGCATACTAAAACTTTTGAGGAGATCTTAAAAGTAGCTCTCTGGACCTCAGCCACCTTTTAAAATAAATAACTAAATCACTTTTTTGTGTTAATCCCACTGTAATCAACCAAATCTGATTGGCTAAATAAACAATGATTGTTTCACAAAATACAATGCATCAAGGGGAAAATAGTTTTTAAGAATGTTGTCAAACTATAAGATCTAAAATCAGGTTTTGTGAAGAGAAACTGTTCAACTTTCCACTACAGTTATGCAAGAATTTGCAAGCTTCATTGGGACTTAATGCTCATATGTGCTATATATCAAATGTCTTGGACTTCACTTGTTCTTGTTACTAGTTGTTATCCATAAGTGAGTTTTTAGTTTTGAATTAATGACAAGTAGCTACTTGTTTGAGTGAGGGTTAAGACATATTTTATCTCTCATAAGCTGGATATAATGATCACCAGTGAGGTTAGATCTCTATTCCCCAGGATGATACCCTCAGTGTTTTTCCTGCAGTGCCTATTAAAAAAGAAGGGAAGGTGAAGTGGCAGTGCCAACCTCTAGTGCCATTTTTATTTGGAGGAATACTTGAGGATGTTATATGTGCCCAAGAGTCATTCATAGGAAATGAAAACTGATCCCTGCCACCGTTTAAAGTATTTTATGGTACTTGTGAAATATGGATATAGGAGATTTTCTAGGATTAAGTCTCCATTGGATTAAAGTGATCGATTTGTTTTGTCCCTTGATCCATAGCTATTCACTTGGCATTTATCTAGACAAGGCATCATCAGATGGATACCCCCGTGATAGTTCCTCAGAAAGGAACAATCAAAATTATTTGTGTATACTTGGTCTTCTATAAAAACAAAAACAGATTCAGTTAAGCTGGAAATGTAGTTCTTGCTTTCAGTTCGGAATTGAAAAGGGTATGGGTGGAGTTCCATGTGATGCTCATAGAAACAAGGAAGCGGTTTCAACTGTCCAGTATCTTTTGTAGACATAGACCACATATGATTTATCTGAGCAGCTACATAGCCAAGAAAAAATTGGTTTAGCAAATGCAGGTCACCTGGTTTTGCTGGGCATAGAGTTAAAAATTCCTTTTTAGCTTGTTACGAGTCCTCAGGTATCAGATATCCTCAGGTGATAGGGCCTAAGAGGGCTGCTGGCTTCGAAATCTAAAGGCAGTGGATCCTGTATTTAGAATTATGTTTCCAGAACAGCTGCGTTAGAAGCAATTTTGCTTAATGTTTTGCTATTTCTGATGGGCTTTGATTTTAGAAAGAGTAGCCTCGTCCTAGGAACCTGGAAGGTGTAAACGTACTGGTGGCTAAGTCAAGGACTAGCTCAGGACTAAAGACATTAGTAAAAGCTGACCAACAGACAAACTAACAGCTTTGCTACCGAGAACTTTCAACTTTCAGACTTTGGACTGTTTATGCAGCAGAGCAGAAGATAACAGACTGTGTTCTGCAATAAATTTCTAGAAAACAAGCATGAATAGAATCACATGCTTTTAGCAATTCGTTTATGTCCCTGCTTTCAGTCCGGTTTCTGTAGCACAGTCTCATCCGCAGAGAATCCTCAGAACGGTCAGGTACTAAGAGAGTGAACAAAGAGTTTAAGAACCCCAGACAGGACACTTTGCCCTTCCTCCTCCTTTCTTCTCCCCCACCTCACCTCCCAAAGATGGAGAACAATAGCTTATGGCTAATTTGGGAGGGTAGCCATTGTACAGTCCCCTGATCCAAAGTTTTTGCACACTGTGGTCCTGGCATGCTTACAAGCAAAATGCCCCCCTGGTGCAGGGTGTCCCATAGCCACTCGCACAGCAAGGGATTCAGCTCATTTCTATTGTTTTTAGTGAAGAATTTAACTGCAGGGAAGGGATGGAGGAGACGAAGGGGCACATAACATCTCTCCTGGCAAACCCTCATAGTGCCCTGCTAAGTATTTGCTGTGAGTTTTTTTTCTCCCAGGAGCAAATATTTGTCATAATAGTATCTGCTCTTAAATCTTGAGGAAAAGCTGGGATCCTTGTTAATTTTGATCATGGCTAACCTACCTGGGCAACAGCAGGAAGGTGGCTTTTTGCTGTCCCAGTTCTACCTCTTCTGTCTTTCTTGTTTATGACCGCCGAATTTCAGCCTCTAAAATCAAAACTGGCATTTTGAGAGCCACAGTGAAGGATGGTGTTAGATCACACACTTTTTCTTGAAATGAGCTGTGGTGGCGCAATGCAGTATTGCAGGCTAACTCTGCCCACTGCCAGCAATTCAGTTCTGAGGTCGACTCAGCCTTCCATCTTTCCGAGGTGGGTAAAATGAGGATCCAGAATGGGGCAAGATGCTGACTCTGTAAACCGCTTAGAAAGAGCTGGAAAGCACCATGAAGCGGTATATAAGTCTGAGCGCTATTGCTAAATGTTGTGGATGGATGAGGTTGGGACACACAAGATGTCCTCCTTGGCTTGTGCTTGGGTAGTCTTTGACTCATTGAAGGTGGAGAAAACAAGCTCAGCAGGTTGAGTTGGTTATGTAAGGAGGCAAATTTCTGCACCTTTCCCATGCAATGACATTGCTTTCCTTTTTTTTTGTATTGGAAAAAGAGTGAGTTGATCTAATACTAGTAACATATTTCAAAATTATGCTGTTTCTCGGTGAATGAAACAGGGAGAGGATCATTTCTGCAGCCCTGACCAGAATTTCTTAAAAGTATAGTAATTAGTTTATTGCTTTTGGAAATGGGAAAATGGGGTCTGAGTGTTGTGTAAAATATACATTTAATATCACGGAAATTCCTAGCGTCCCCCAGGATCAAAAAATAAAACAAAATCCCAGCTTCACTTCCCTACGTGACAAAATCCTTCCCACCTTGCTCATTGCAAACTCTTAACCTTTGTAAAACAAAAGGGGAAAAGTTGCATCCGTACCTTCATCAAACAGTAACGGAATATTTACTGGACTAAGCTTGTTACCTAGAAGGCGATAATACGCTGTCCTTAGGATGAACTTCTAGCTGCTCAGAGTCATCGATTGAGGTGGTCACAAAAAGATTAGATGGATGGAAATTTCAAGCATAGATGTGTTCATATAAATTATTAGGCATGGTTTTAAAAAGGGACACTTACCTGAGCAGACGCCTTAGTGTTCAATTAGAGCAGGGGTGTCCAACTCACGTCACTGCAGCATCACATGACGTATCGGGACTGTTTTCCCCCTTTGCTAAACCAGGCAGGGGCGTGGCCAGCGTGTGACTCATCCCGTGGGCCTGGGGTTTGACAGCCCTGGATTAAAGTCTTAGTCTGAAACTTGCATGACAAAAATTGGGCCTTTTGGTAGGACTCACCCTGTGACTTTTCTCTCTTGCAGCCTTGGGCGCCGCCTACGGCACAGCGAAGAGCGGCACAGGCATAGCTGCCATGTCAGTCATGAGGCCAGAGCTGATCATGAAGTCCATCATTCCTGTGGTCATGGCGGGTATCATAGCGATCTATGGCTTGGTAGTGGCTGTCCTGATTTCCAGCTCTGTCGCGTATAACATGTCGCTATTCAAGTAAGTTTCTCGGCGAAGCAGGGCTGCAGAGGTCCCTTGCAGGCTTAGGGATCTGACTCTCAATGGAAAGCATCCAACTGAATTCCATTCTCTGCTCTACAAGAAGGGAAATGCTGATCAGAAATTGCACACCAGAAGGAACAGGGTGCAGAATCAACATTCCTCAGGCCTTTGATGTTTGCTATGAGAGGAGCAGCTCTTAGGGAAAATGAATGCTGTACACCAATGTTTCTCAACCTTGGCAACTTTAAGTCATGTGGACTTCCAACTCCCAGAATTCCCCCATCCAGCTTTGTTTTGCTGGCTGGGGAATTCTGGGAATTGAAGTCCTCATGACTTAAAAGTTGCCATAGTTGAGAAACACTGCAGTGCCCCAAATTTATTTATTTAAAGTATTTATTATTTACATTAGCACTATTTATTTTGGAACTTGAGGTCCATAAAGGTTTTGGTTTTTTAATGGAACAGAAATAGGCGGAGGTTAGGATCATTGTCAATGCTATAGTATTTAATAAAAGACTTGTGATTTCAGTTGTATTTCTGTAGAATAGGACGATAAGTTGCCCTTAAAAGATTCTGGTGCTTTCTCCAGAGTTTCCAAAAATGGTAATCAAATTGTAATGTTCCATGTAATGAAAAAGAGTATTCTAAGGGAGAATCACAGGTTTTTTTAAAAAAAAAAACCAGTGTAAATTAAACTTGTAATCGTCCTGGTCTTGAAACCACTTAGAGTGGATGTTTTGCTCATTCAAAAGGCCATAGTGAGCCAACAAAAGTCTGCATCCTTTTTGTAGTGCACTGGGCCATACCTGCCTTGACTAAACCCAGCATTGGAATCCTACAGCCCAGGTGATGTCTTGGTGTTAATTGGCTCAACTGTAGGCAGGAAACCCAAGTTCTGTGATAGAAAACTAGGGACCAAACTAAAAGGCAACTTGGCATAGCTCCAGCCATCATGCCCCATAATCGGATTTTCCCAGGAGGTAATCCTTCATGTGGAAGCTGGTAGATTCCCAGTGCCATATCTTCAGGTAGTCCTCAGCTTATGACCATTCGTTTAGCAACTGTTCCAAGCCACACACAAAAAAGTGACCTCCGATTGGTCCTCGCACGTATGACGCTTGCATTCTCCCCACAGGCATGCGATCAACATTGGGTGCTTGGCAACCAGCATATATTTACAGTGGTTGCAAAGTCCCACCCCGGGCAGCTTGTAATCAGCATGGGTCAATGGGGGAAATCCAGATTCACTTAATGACTGGTGATTCGCTTAATCATGGCAAAAGTGGTGAAATCAGGCATCTAACTGCCTTGCTTAGTGGCTGAAATTCTAGTCCCAATTGTGGTTATAAGTCAAGGACTACCAGTACAGCATTGGGTGTTGTGTTCCTAAAATGGTGCAATATGACAAACAAGGGGTCCATCCCACTAGAAAGACTCTTAAGTCACCTTTTGGGGTATCAAAACCTGCATTTATTTCCAGAGAGAACTGACTCTTGGCTCACTCTGGCTGGTGTCTTTCCTTGCTTCTTTCATTCATGAAGCAAAATCCTTTAAAACAAAATAACTGGTATCCAATGCAATGCTTTTTAATTATTCAGAGATGCTTAATTGAAACATGTTGGTAAGCTAATCCTCCCGCTGCTATGTTAGACATGCCCAGAAGTTTCCAGGTGTGCTTAAAATGGGCTGAAACACAACCAGCTTTAAATTTTCATGAGTGGCTGTAGTTGACAAGGGGAACCCACTCATGTCTGTCCTTTCAGGAATAACTGTATTGCGTACAGTAGCTTTCCGTCTTAGAAAAACTAAGATTAATTAGAAAGGCTGAGGGGGAAAAAAGAACATGGGTGCAAGACCCGATGGTTGGTAGCATCATTAGAGGAAAGCTAAAGATAGCTTGCCAAGAAGTTGAAGGAACAAAATGTTTTATTCTTGACAAATGAGACTTGGCCAATGGTATAAAAACTCTTCTAGCAGAAGCAAATCCAAAGTAGCAATGCATTGGCAACTAGTTTGCCGAGGAACTAACAAATAAATAACCATGATGTAAGTTCAGCAGAGAGTCCTAACATTTATGAAATTTATCCTGCTGTGACAATCTCCAAAATGTGTCTTGCTTCGTTGTTTGCTCTTTAAGGGGTTTTGAATATTCTGTCAATAATCTTCTTGCCATGTAGTTCTTCATAATTGGGAGCGCTGCATCATCGCAGAACCCTGCGTTCTGTTAAACACAGTTGCGTAGATGTGAGATGCTCTTAATTACTAGCATCTTTTTTTTTTGTTACAGGAGGGTAAATATGAGCCCACTCTGCAGGAAAGTTTTAGGCTGGCCTTGGTGAAAGCAGCCCAGATTTTAGTAAAAGGTGTTCTGAGCTGGGTCCTTTTTTTTTTCTTTTTTTTTTTTTTCAACCGAATCTTCTGTAACTCGAGGCTGCTCTCCCAAGATCTTGTTGGAAAGCACCAAGGCTGGAGGAAATTGACTTCTAGAGAGGAAAATCAGATTCTTCCTCTTCTCCTCCAGAAAACAGTCGGTTTTCACGGATTGAGGTGGGTTGTTTCCAACGTGCCATTCAGCTTGTCTTCCTTTCCCTTCCCTTCCTTGCAGGAGCTTCCTCCAGTTGGGCGCTGGATTGAGTGTAGGCCTCAGTGGTTTGGCTGCCGGCTTTGCCATTGGCATCGTGGGTGACGCAGGTGTCCGGGGGACGGCGCAGCAGCCGAGGTTATTTGTGGGCATGATCCTGATCTTGATCTTTGCCGAAGTCTTGGGGCTGTATGGCCTCATCGTTGGCCTCATCCTTTCCACAAAAGGGTAACCGCTGCAGAGTGTGATGGAAAACAAAACAAACTTAAAAAGTTCCAGAATTTGAAAAAAAAAAAACAGTCTCTCCACAATGTGTACAGTTGTCATCAGTTTTGGTAGTTGATCTCTTGTAAATTTGCGCAATGTATGTGACTTGTCTGTCCTCTGTGTACTTCGATATGAAAAGCAACGAGGGCCTGCCACAAGCCTTTTCACACAAGGCTTGCGGGGAAGCCCCTTTGCTGTTTTTCCATCCATTTTTGCCATTTAGAGTCCTTTATGTATAAATATAAACTAGAAAACGCTAATTTTCCCCCTCTCTCTCTTCATTGGATGTTTTATTTATAAGACTTGACATGTTCATACATAATGGAACAAGAGTTTTCAATTTTCCATGCTCTCTCTCTCTCTACACACACACACACACACACACACAATTATATATATATATATTAATCTCATGCATAGATTACTACACTGTGGGGTTAACTGTTAAGTGCAGAGAAATCCTTGGATGTAATTTGATTCTCAATGATTGCTGTCGTGTCCTGGTATCGGAGTGTGAGACTGTTTGTGTTTATACAGATAACAGCAAAAATGTCTGAGACACTCCTGTGTTCCCAAATAGTAAAAACTGTACGCTCTGGCATCCAAAAGTTGTGCAGCCAATGTTGGATTTTGCAGTAATACGTTTCCAGGTAATAAAAAACAATTCCTCCACTGTATCATGGTTGCACGGTGTGTCTTGTTGTGAGTTGCCTTGAGAGGAGGCAGGGTTTCCAAACCCCGGTGCCATCCAGCACAGCCTTCTCCTCCCCATATCACCACTAAATCCCCCTCCTCCAGCATGAGCTTGGGAAATGCCTGGAGCTTGCTAACAAATGGGAGGGAGGGAAGTGGCCCAGCTTTTATGAAACCAGAAATGTCAGAGCTGGGAAAACTTGGGTTAGTTTTAGCCTTGAATGTATGGGGCAGGAACAGATTGTGTGAATTCGGCCCACTTTGGTCAATTTGGGAGGCTGATGGTAATTGAACAGACCCAGCAATTGGAGTAAATACTTAACATGGATAAATAGGTCCTGAAAAGATGAAGGCAAGCATCCAGCCTCTTTTAATTCAAAACTTTTAATATGGGCTCTTTGGTGCTGAGGTTAGGGGTATTCTTACAGATATTTTATTACCCAACTAAGTAACATCATCAGTGCTAGAAAGGAAGTGGGGTTATGTCTATACACCTTGTCAGTGACAGTACAAATAGGGTGAGCCAATTATATACAAAGAGTTGGCTCTCAACCCATCAAATCTAATTTGGAAAACTGTTGAAGCACAAGAAATACATGGCTCTCTTGCCAGGCACACTCTTAGTTCAGAACCGCCTGGACAGTGCTTTTTTCCTTTTGCTTACCGCAACAAAAACAATTACTGTTTTCTGCACACTTATGCAGGAATTTGTCTGTTGGATGAGATGGAAAGAAGTGGAGATCCTTGAGGAGGATTATACTTCCCAGGAAAAATTTAGCCTTTCATAAGGCTATATAAGCCAATTTGGTGTAGTGGTGAAGGTGTCAGGCTGGAAACCAGGAGACAGGTGAATTCTCGTCTCACCTTAGCCACAAAAACCAGCTGAGCGACCTTGGGCCAGTGCCTCTATTCTCTTCCCACAAACAGCCCAGCTCGCCTCACAGGGCTGTTGTGGGAGAAACAAGAGGAGGAAATAGTGTTGGATTTACTCACTGCCTTGAGTTATTTGCAAAAAATAATTAATAAAAACCACGCACCGAAATAAAGAACAGGAAGAGCGATGCTCAAGGCAGGAGCCATAATGCTCTGTTGGGGCCTGGCATCTCCTGTGAGAATCATGCAGTTCCCCTTTTCCCCAGTAAGGCCAGCCACGCAGCCCCCGCAAGGAGGAATCTGATCCCTGCATTATGTACATTCTTGGTGGTTCCTGGATTTTCAGGTCATGGACATCCCAGTGACTCATTGACGGTTTTCCTTCGGCTTTGCAAGCTTCAGGGATGGAAATAGATTGAGCACCATTCTCGACTGGCCAAAGAAACACTCTTGTTTGGTGGGGGGTTGCTGCAGCCCATTATTTAATCTCTTCGTCCCATTTCTATCCTCACCATTTCACCTCAGTGATTTTGTCTTTTTTTCATTTAAAAAAAAAAAGGCTTGGGGTGGAGAGATTTGCAGGGGAGGAGTGGGGGAAGCTTTGAACGGATCTTCCAATTTTCATTTTACACCAGAATGTGTCTGCTGCAGAGTGAGTCACCCCTGCAGAGAAGGGGGAGGGGGGAGGGGAGGAAAAAGGGGGAATGAAGCAGCAGCAAGAGAAAGAGATTAAAAATCATGGATGAGGCCACCTAAATGCTTGGGAAGGAAACTTGACATAATATTTTCTCTTAGATAGCAACGCACCTCATCTTTCAGGGAGTTAAACCTCAGAGATACCCTTCCCAGATCCATATGGGACTCGATTCACAACATTTACCTATGCAGGTAAACAGGAGACATATTCTAACCCATGCCTCCTGCTACCAGAGAGGCGTTTTAGGCTTGGGAGGATGTATCAACTGCCCTCAAGATCTAGTTGCAGATTTGATGTGGTTTTTGCAGAGTTTGGTGTGTTTCCCGACATTCATTCATCCCAGGATGCAGATTCTTGGTCTGGAATATGAAGAGCCCCTGAGGGTAGTGGGGGAAATATACAAAAATGGAATTAACACTCCTATCAGTGGACATCCAGATCTCTTCCTTGTTGTTCAATGATTCACCCTGGGCATCGTGACTTGGAGTCAGGCCAAGGGATTGGCCTGCGTGATCTGATCTGCGTGTCATCCTAGCTGGGTCGGAAGGAAGGAAGGCAGGCAAGGATGGTGTTTGCAAACGGCTGTGGGGCTAGCACAAAGCAAAGAGCAATCCTGCACTCTTTGCTTTCGGAAAATAAGAATCCTGAAACCGAGGTTCATCCTTCCTACTTTTCTTCCAGCATTGCTTAGCCCAAGTATGTTTTCTCTGAAAATGGCGAGTAACGATAATAAATCTTAGCAAATCATATGGGTCATTACCCAACCACCCTTTCAAGCAAATTAGAGACTGGTTCGGAGGATTATTATTTTTTTCCCCCGTTTGCAAGAAATGAAAGATGGGTTGGGATACAGTTTCATTTCCCTCCGAATGCTCAGTGGAAACAAAAGAAGAGAGAAAAAAAGGAATTTTTTTGCCGTGAGGCTCCCAACCCAATTAGCATGCTTGCTTGGTTTGCAGCTTCTCCCTGAGTCAGCCGTGGCTCCTGTCCTTGCTGCCTTCCTCACAAGGATGTCACAAGCTTTGATTAATATGCAGGCCTGTGGTTAGGAAACCCTTTGAGGATGGGGGCCGAGCTCTTCTCAAGCAACCCAGAGCAGGTTTTTTTGCTGGTCATTCTCAAACTGACGCAGTGCTGCAGCAGGAAACTCTTGCCTGTATTATTATTCTGTTACGCGCTTTTGATGCTTCGTAGTTGTTTTCTCATTTAAAAAAAAAAACCTTTAAAAAATCTGTCTTGAGATGGAACTGCCTGACGTTAAAATGGACATGTGGTCCCGAAGAATAAATTAAGATGTTATTAAACCCACACAGGACTGTTCTCTCTATCCTTTCCCGCATCCCCAAACTAAGTCTAGCTTCATGCCACTAAATTGATTTATCCACATATCATATTCTATCTCTGCCTTATCTGTTCTACTTTTCTCCACCACGGGGAGGGAAGAAATGAAATGGATAGGTATACTTCAAACAGCATTTTAGGGTTCTCTGGGCTGTGCAGGCACATATTAGACTCAGCCACCATGAAACAACACAAAACAATAAAATTCATGTAGTTCACATGCCACACTCTATACTGCCCACATTTCGATTTCAGGATACCTGGGCTGAATTCATCCTTTCGGTTCAGAAATACTGCAATCTCACTAACGTTGCGTTAGTATGAAGTGTGAACACATCTGTTAAGACTTAGTGTTATCAAGACATTATATATGATTTATAAAACAGCATCACCTAGGGAAAAAAACCATTTTCAGTACCTATTTGGCACCTTAATTGCTAGGAATAGATTCTTAACTGACAGAAACATTTATCTTGCACATTAACAAGGTCTTCACAAGAACGACAGTAAAAGCAACACAGCCTGTTTCTACACGTGCATGTTGCATAATGTATTTCATGTTACAATATAAGCCCTCTCCTTACAGTTTAGGAGAAGCTCAAAAAACTATTTACTATTGCCATTTTTGTACTTTATTACCACTTCAGCCTCTGAGGATCCAATTGATTGCCCCGGGATAGAAATACTTAACATGCCTACATAAAACATTTTCATGGATTTTTAAGTCGCAGCTTAAATAATAAAAGTATTATTGGGAAGGAAATGGATGATACATAAATTTTCTAAGCAAGGATATGAATAACTCGAATATATAACCTGCAGACTGATAGCTAGGTCTGGGACAAGATGCAAGAAACATTAGAATCATGTTGGCTATATATGCTACAGTTCAAAAACCAGCCTGTATTCAGCTTTTGATATTCATTTTGTCCTTGAAGCAGTTCCTCATTGTTCTTCCACTTTTTCTTGCACCCCAAGGACTGGAGAGCATGAAGGCAAATGACCATGAGCATTTATGCCTATGGGCCCCACTCAAAAAAAAGAAAGAATCCAATAGCTTTTCTTAAAAGTGTATTTTATTAAAATATTATAACCTGGTCCCCATCCAAAGCTGAACATCAGTAAAAGAGAACAAGCTATATTCGCATCACTCATGCTCTAGGACAGGGGTGTCCAACCTTAGCAACTTTTAAGAACTGTGGACTTCACCTCCCAGAATTGCCTGGCCAGTACAAAACTGCCCCGTTGGGTATCTATGATTAGATAGATAGATAGGTGGATGGATGGATAGAAACACCCCAAAACCATGTGACTAATAGAAAGATGTATAATTTAGTTTAGTTTATTGTCATTGCACCTCATACAATGAAATTAAATGCCATCTTCAATGTACATTTATAACTATAAAAATAAAACAAACACACATCCTTCGCATTCTATACAAAAATGATGGAAAAGTAGTAAAAACAAAAAAAACCACACAAATGATGGAAAAGCACTGACTAAAAAAAAAACCAACTACAGAATTCTGGTAGTCCTCAAATTACAGCCATAATCGAATTCAACATTTCCATTGCTTAAGCGAGACAGTTAAGTGAATTTTAACCCCATTTTGCGGCTTTTCTTGCCACGGTTGCTAAGCGAATCACTGCAGTTAATTACATGGTCGTTAAAAGTGAATCTGGGCTCCCATTTGCTTGGCTTGTCAGGTCGCAAAAGGGGATCCCATGATCCCCGGGAGGCCGCAACCGTCATAAATGTGAATCAGTGGTGAGCAGCTGAATCTCGACCACGTGATTGCAACGGTCATAAAAGGTGATCAATGGTCCTTCGGCGCTTCTTTCTGTGCCGTTGCAACTCTAAGCGGTCACTAAACGAACGAGGACCACCTGTAACCCATAAAAACGGTAAACACACACACACAAAATATCATTAAAAACCATTGCAATCTGCCCGAGAGATTCCCCTCGCAAACCCACCGTCTTGCAGGCTCCGTGCCCCCACTCCACACCTCGCCCCCTTCCCGGATGATGGGGTTTGTAGTCCACCCGCCCACGCCTTTTGCACATTGCTTTCCCCGCCGCTCGCTCCGCATCGCTAAGACCTCACCAAGATGGCGGCGGGCGACGAAACCTCCTCCTTTCCCCCCCGCCTCTTTCCCTTCCCATCATGGCGGCTCCCCGCCTCCAATCACGTGACCCTCCCGAGAGGGAGAGATCGCCCCCTCCCTTCTTCCCCGTCAGCTGACCGCGCGGTCACGTGACCGGGATCGGGAGCTTGCAGGCAGCCCCGAAGGAGAGAAGTTGGCAGCTGGCTGGGAAAAGGCTCGGCGGGAGCCGGGTAAGCCCGAGGCGGCTGCTCTTCCGCGCTTCAGGTCGTGGGGGCTGGGGGGCAGCGGCCGGTGGCTCCTCGCTTCCCCGGGAGAAGACTTCCCAGCCTTCCCCGGTGGCTTTGGGGACCGGGGTGGGGCGGGGGCTCCTCCCTCTGCAATGAAGGACAGGCGATTTCATGTGTCCCCCCCCCCCCAATAGGCAGGATCTCAGGGTGGCCGTGGGTGGATCGCTCGGGAGGAGAGGAAGAAGCGATCGAAGGCGGGCTGGCCAAAGGAAAGGCGGGCAGATCGGTTTAAAAATGGCAAAGGGTGATTGGTTGGTTGGGTTGGGTTGGGTTGGGTTGGGTTGGGTTGGGTTGGGTTGGGTGGGTTGGTTGGTTGGTTGGTTGGTTGGTTGATGGGTGGGTGGGTGGGTGGGTTGGATGGATGGATGATTGATTGATTGGATAGTTGATTGATGGGTGGGTGGGTTGGTTGGTTGGTTGGTTGGTTGGTTGGTTGGTTGGTTGGTTGGCCATCCAGTCATTTTCTATTCCTATCTGCCACTACTAAAGAGAAGCCATGATCAAAGCATCAAAGTCAGAGCTCTGGGGAGGATTGGGGAGTGGGAGGTGATTTTTGCAAGATTTCGCCATCCTAAACTGCAGGAAAATTGCCATACCAAATTTGCTGGACAAAGGGAGGAGTGGGGCAGCGAGAGCAGGTCCTTAACTTTGCACCCTCTAATAGGGCAATGTGGGTTGAGAGGGTGAATATCTTTGGGGGAGGGTCTCTTTTATGAGTCACCAACTGTGCCTAGAAAGGGGACAGTAGCCCATATATTTTGCTTTTTAGGTGCTCATAAAAATGTTCTCACTGGAGCAGAGAGAACCCTAAAACTGAAATCTGGGTTGTGGGTCAGTGTGATTTGTTTGTGGTGGGCTGATCACACCGAACAAGCTCAGCCTTTGGTATTTTTACACAGCCATTTAATGCATGCCACAAGTGGTGCAGTGGCCTAGAGGTGGAGCTCTCGCCTCACAATCAGGAGGCTGTGAGTTCAATCCTAGATAGAGGCAGATATTTCTCTCTCTGGGCACACTGAGATTATATCTACTGAACAAAACTCCACACTGGTAACAGGAAGGGCATCCAGCCAGTAAACACTTAGCTCCATTCAGTTGCCCAGAATCCACCCCACAAGGGATTATGGAATCATAAAAGAGGATGATGATTTAATGCATGCTATTAATTCAGGTCACTGAAAGTGCACACCTCTTAAAAGCCACTTAGCATTGTTTAATTACAAATAAATGCAATAAAATAATCACTGTGTTAAATCCTGGCTTTGTTTCTTTTATTTAAATGTATTAACGAACAGAATAGTGAGCTATATTTTTATATAATTTATTTATATATCACATTTAGGAATCACCTATCTCCCTTGAAGAGTGGGGCATTGTACAAACAGATATAAAAGCTATATATAAATGTAAAAACAATAAAACAATACTAATAATTTATAGAAAGATACATGTAACCTTATTGAATTTGATTACCTGGTGTCCCGAACTGGGAAATAGACAATCAAATTCCCTTGATTGTGGATAATTAATATGTTTAAACCAGGTGAAATAACAAGCTTAAGTCAGGGGAAATAAAAATATTTTTTATTATTAGGATAGGAGGGAGAGGGGGAATCATTTTCTATTAATGTGAAGCATTTTTCCACATGTTTGCCATCACGTGGAAATGTTCAAATCTTTTTTGCCTTCCAAGGACTTGCTGCAACCTGTAAGAAGCTATTAACTCTTTTATGTTTCAAGGTACAGTTTGCTGCCTTGAGTTACCTACAAAGTAATAAAAGCAGGATAAAAAAATTGAATAAATAATAAAATAAAATGCAAAGGGCATTTAATACTGTAGATCATATTCCCATGTTGCTTTTAACCCATTTAACAGTTTGGTTTTTTTGATTCAGTAAAACAGAACTAAACAAATAAAGACTTACATAATAGATGAATATAGATTAAATATGGCTTCCTCTTCTCTTCATGCTGTTATAGTTGTCTCACACGTGGGCTTGAAGGATGCCATGCCATAAATCTACTGTGGATGCGCCAATCCTCCAATTTACCAACTGCCGAATTTTAAAGGATCATGTCTTGCAAAGGTAAGGACTTTCTTCTAAGCTTCCATCTTGTTCTAGCGATTTAGAAGTATAAAATGTTAAAGCTTTCAATGGAAATGGCTAAGATAGTTATCCAAAAGAATATTCTGTGGGGTTCTTGAGGCTCTCTGAGCCCGATTGTTTTCTTGCAGGTGTTTCATTACCTAAGTAACCTCGGTGCTAAAAGGGGCTTGTATATAAACAGAGAATAAACCTCACTCCCAACAAACACTGATGATGTTACCTAGTTTGGCAATTGGTCTGCAAAAAAAAAAAAAGTCGAAGAAACCAGGGGCTTCCCATTTCAACCATGAGCTACAAATATTCTTTTCTAAAGAACATCCTGTTAAGGTTAATGTCCTCCAGGTAGAAAGGAACTGATAATACATATTGCTCCATTTATTTATATATGTATTATACCTTTCTGTCCGGCCCCAAAAGCCAAGACAGTTATGTGGTGAATCTTCCAAGCAGGATTCTTTATTGTTTCCACTCCTCTAGACAAAATCTTATCAAACTGAAGCAGAGTACTACTTGCATGAAGCATGTACTCTGGGAACTATTAGGGAGGGACTGTCCTCACCTTTCTCTCACGCAAATTGTCTGAACTGAGTTGCCTCTTACACCTCTGGAACGCTACCCCTCTCTTCTGGGAATCCAGTCCACTACATTCCATAACACTTTTTACCGTTTTGGTGCGCCACTCCAATCGTTGAGCTTTGGGCACCTCACAACAATAATATCCAACCATCTTCTCCAGAAGTTTCCCCAAAGGGAAAACTTGGAGATCAGACAACCTCATAACTCAAAAGAAGGCTCCTTTAGAAGCGAGGGCCCATCTGCCCTCTCTTTTCATCACCCGCTTACAATCAATAAAACTTGATAGAACCACACCATCATTTAGCAAACTCTCTGGGTGGAGAATAAAACCCTCTTCACTGCAGAATAAATTACAACTAAGATTCCAGCAGACAACTGCCTTTGGTGGATAGGCCAAAAAAGAGATCAAGTGGAATTTTTAATCTAAGATTTGGATGACTTAGCCTCTTTTGTTTTTAGAGAGGATCTATGGGTAAGAGCCGGAAAGATCTTAAATCCAGAGAAGGTGTTCTTTGATGAGAAAAAGTCTGCAGATGTCCAACTGGACTGCAAAGGCAGCATCTTGGCACCGGGCTTCATTGATGTACAAATCAATGGTAAGACATTGGTATTTATAGTTCAGCTACAGGATGAAAACAATGACGTTCCTAAATAAACCCCATTCATTTTTACTATTTTTTATTTGATCTGCTGTTGCTTAGGAGAAAACTAAGGGCCCCAATCCAAGTGATGCAGAAATTTTCAAAGCCAGGAAACCAGGAGTCCAGGCGGTTCAAATAAATAGATTTGTTGCATGCTAAAGCGGTCAAAGCAAATTGGCAATGGATAAGAGTCAACAGAATTTAAGGTGGGCTGGAGTTAGATTTCTTGTGGGCACGAAAGGATTCAAGACTGATGATGCATTTGACCTCTCCTTCAGGCTCAGCCACATCATCTACAGAAATATTTGGTTGCATATTTGTTTGCACCATGTTAGAATCTGAATCTCCGTAGCTTTGCTGTAAAATCAAACTGCAAAGAAAGAGTGAGATGTATTTATTTATTTTTTAATTAAATTTATTTGCTACCCATCTCACCACAAGGTAACATCTCTCAAGGAGATGTTTATAATTCACAGCTCCCAACAGCTCTAGCCAGCTTGGCTAATGGAAGACACAGTTCAAGATACTTGCAAACAATTGGAAGATTATGCTGTAACCAACCTCAGGATAGGGAAAGAACAATTACATTTACATTTCTAAAGATGGGTTGCCATTGGGAAGCCAGAGATAAGTTAATCCCACCATCTGTGGAGTGTATTATCCTGGTGTATAAATATGCTTTGCACAGAGGCAAATGCACTGGACAATCTAAATAACAAGGATGGACTTCTCCTTCTGTCTTCTCAGGAGGTTTTGGAGTAGATTTTTCCCTGGCTACAGATGATGCACAAGCAGGAATTTCACTGGTTGGCCAGAAGATACTGTCCAGTGGCGTGACTTCATTTTGCCCGACTATGGTGACCTCACCATCCTCGGTCTATCACAAGGTGAGTAGATCCAAAGCTGATAATATGGTGTTGGTGAAAAAGTGAATTGATCTAAGAAAGAAGACTACATTTTATAGATGGACACCCACCCATGTGATTCAGTAACAATGGTCTCACTGTCTTCTCTCCGACTAGGTTCTACCTCAAATCCGTGTACAAAATGGGGGGCCTCACGGAGCCGGTGTCCTAGGTGAGTAAGAGTCATTCATCATTAGATAGGAATAGGGATGGGATGGAATAGAAATAGAAATAAAAATTGGAATAGGATAACAGTGGAGTGGAATGGAATGGAATAGAATTGAATAGAATGGAATAGAATAGAAAATAGAATAGAGTAGGGTAGGGTAGGGTAGGGTAGAGAAGAGTAGAATAGAATAGAATAGAATAGAATAGAATAGAATAGAATAGAATAGAATAGAATAGAATAGAATTCTTTATTGGCCAAGTGTGATTGGAACACAAGGAATTTGTCTTTGATGCATAAGCTCTCAGTGTACATAAAGAAAAAATAAAATACATTCATCAAGACTCATAAGATACAACACTTAGTGATAGTCATAGGTTACTATTAAGCAATCAAATCATACTAGGGAACAAATAAAACAATATAAATTGTAAAGATACAAGCAACATGGTTATAGTCATAAGTGGGAAGAGGAAGGATGAGAAGAAGAATAGTAATACAGTCTTACTAAGTAGTTTGACAGTGTTGTGGGAATTAGCTGTTTAGCAGAATGTCCTTGTGTCTAGTTGTTTTGGTATGCAGTGTTCTATACTGTCATTTTGAGGGTAGGAGTTGAAACAGTTTGTGTCCAGGATGTGAGGGGGTCTGTAAATATTTTCACAGCCCTCTTTTTGACTTGTGCAGTATACAGGTCCTTGATTGAAGGCAGGTTGGTAGTAATTGTTTTTTCTGCAGTCCCAAATACTCTCTGAAGTCTGTCTTGCTGGGTTGCAGAACCAAACCAGACAGTCACAGAGGTACAGATGTCAGACTCAATAATTCCGCTGTAGAACTGAATCAGCAGCTCTTGGGGCAGTTTGAGCTTCCTGAGTTGGCGCAGAAAGAACATTCTTTGTCATGCTTAATAGTTGTATCTTTTGATGGGGGTAAGAAAAATAGAGATTTTTGGCACCTTTCTCTAATCTGGTGCCTTTCTGAGAGTCCACACATTCAAGAGCCCTAGATCATCAAGGCTAAGGAATTTGCTACAGATCTTCACTTCAGTTGGTGTTTGTCATAGGATCCATATTATAATCTTCAGTGGTCCAGGGGTTCACGCAAGGTTGCCTAATCTTGCTCCAGAGCTTTGGATATCTCTTTCCTTTTTTTCCTTCGGCAGGGATTCATCTGGAAGGTCCATTCATCAGCAAAGAGAAGAAGGGGGCTCACCCAGAAAATTACCTCCGCACTTTTGAGTTGGGAGCCTTCCAGGATTTGCTCGCCATGTACGGGAGTCTGGATTGTGTCCGGATTGTCACTTTAGCCCCTGAGATGAAACGCAGCAGTGAAGTGATCCGGGAGTTGACCAAGAGAGGCATCTGCGTGTCGCTGGGTAAACTTTGTCCCTGGATCCTGAAGGATTGAAATTTAGGAGGCCAGTTTGTTTTGGACACTAGGCTGTGGGAAGCAAAGGCGTTCACAGGAAATCACAAGGTCATCAAGATGGTGATCGGGTCTCCTTCTTGAGCAGGGGTTGGACTAGAACAGAGGTCGCCAACCTTTTGGACCTCAGGGACCACCAAACTCATAATTTTAAATCCCACGGACCAGAGACCTTGGGAAAATCCCCCCAAAAAGTCTGCAGGAAAATTCCCCACCCCGTTTTCCTACCAATTGATTGTTCTTTATTTGGGATCGCAGCTCTGTTCTCAGGGAGAGGGAGGGAGGGTGGGAGAGAGACTTTTGGCTTCATGCAAGGAAAACAGCAGAAGCAGCAGAAGTCTTGCTTTCTCTCCCCCATACTCTGCCAGAATGATGCAGCCTCTTAGAACAGGATGCTTTGCAGGGCCCCAAAGACTCATTTCTGGCAGAGTTTGGGGGAGAGAAAGAAAGACTTTTGCTCTTCCCTTGCGTTTAGCCAAAAGCAGAAGAAGAAAGAAGCAGAAAGAAACAGCCTGGTGACCAGGCAAGGTGCATGGAGTAAGTGGGGCAAGTTCCCCCCCTCTGCCCTTCCCCCCCTTCCTCTCACTACCTCATGTTGTTTGCAGTGCAAGCCTTGTGTTCCCGCACAGCCTGGATTAATTGCTTTGGGGTGACATTTCTCTGCAGACCACCAAAATTTTCTTGCGGACCACCAGTGGTTCCCGGCCCACTGGTTGGCAGCCACTGGACTAGAAGATTTCCCTTTATTTCTGCGTTCTGAATGTAGGCACGATGACATGGTCACACTATGTACAACTGAACGCTTGCATCAGGATAGAAGCTGTGGCATTTTCACAGGGACCTCGTCATGCACATGTCATGTTATGACCTCCTTAAAGACAGCAGCCACAATGGGAATGCTAGCAATATCCCCTGTGAGGCCAGGAGGCTACATTTGAAAATAGTAATTCCTTTAAAAATAGTAATCCCAAAAGTGGATCGAGATGGGTCTTGCTGGACATAACGGGTCATCCGTTGGGTAAAACCAGCTAATGATCTGCACTTTCTCTCTCATTCCCTAGCCAGCATGCTTTGAAAATTTGAAAAACTCTCTTCTAAATGATTCAGTACAACAGAAGAGGTTCCGAAGGATGAATGTTGAGTTCTCTCCATTTCCTTTTTTTCTAGGTCACTCTGTAGCTAATTTATCTCAAGCTGAGGAGGCTGTTTGTCAGGGAGCTACCTTCATCACTCACCTCTTCAATGCCATGTTACCTGTGAGTAGTACCTAGGCAAGTTTCCACTTCCAGAATCTTAACCAACTGGTTGTAAGTTACTTTTTTGGGAGTGAATTAACTCCTGGGGTTTGGAAAACTCACTTTCCCACATAATTGTGGTTCCTCCTCTTAGGAGCCCCTCCTAGATTGTGTGGTCCAGCCAAGAAATGGAAGAGTAGATTTTGTAGTCCTTGTTCCTAACCCATGGACTTAACTGCCTTGCGTCCTGACATTTCTTCTGCAGTTCCACCACCGAGACCCCGGGATTGTGGGACTTCTCACAAGTGACAAGATTCCTTCTGGTCAGCAAGTGTTTTACGGCATGATCTCAGACGGGATCCACACGAATCCTGCTGCGCTGAGAATCGCACACCGGGCCCATCCTCAAGGTCTGTCTTCACAAGCGGTAGGGGCAATTCCCCTGAGATGAGAAGGGGCATTTTTTTAGTTAGTTTGGCCCAATAATGTCTGTGGATATTGGGAGGGCTTTGATAGAGAGAATATGATTCAGTTCACTCAAAGTAGGTCATGGTTTGTTTTAATGTTGGTTTGAAGACACCTCCGTGATCATGTTTATATATCCTGACAAGCTGCAAATGGCCGAGTCCCTTCATTGGGGTACCTGAAAACTGAACTAACCATAAGAGCCTGGGTGGCACAGTGGTTAGAGTGCAGTACTGCAGGCTACTTCTGCTGCCTGCCGGCTGCCTGCAATTTTGCAGTTCAAATCTCGCCAGGCTCAAGTTTGACTCAGCCTTCCATTCTTCCGAGGTGGGTAAAATGAGAACCCAGATTGTTGGGGGCATTAGGCTGACTCTGTAAACCGCTTAGAGAGGACTGTAAAATACTGTGAAGCGATATATAAGTCTAAGGGCTATTGCTATTGCTCTTCCTTTTCTCCTTCTTTCCTTTCCTTCCTTCTTTCCCTCCCTCCCTCCTTCCTTCCTTCTTTCGCTGGTGCACAGTGGTTAGAAAGCAGTACTGCAGGCTACTTCTGCTGCCTGCTAGCTGCCTACAATTTAACAGTTTGAATCTCACCAGGCTCAAGGTTGACTCAGCCTTCCATCCTTCCAAGGTGGGTAAAATGAGGACCCAGATTGTTGGGGGCAAGAGGCTGACTCTGTACGCTGTTTAGAGAGGACTCTGAAGTGATATATAAGTCTAAGTGTTATTGTTATATGTTGCAATGCTGAAGTTATTTTCTGGTGGAATTAACAGGCTTAAATTATCCCTCCTTAGGTCTGATCCTGGTGACAGATGCCATCCCAGCAATGGGGCTTCCTCCTGGCAGACACACTCTGGGCCAACTGGTGGTAGAGGTAGAAGGTGCAAATTCCTACATTGCAGGTAAGGGCACTCCTAGGCTGAAATTTCAATTAGCCAGTCAAACAGGTGGGCTGATTTTTTTCTCCCAAGACCCAGGCGGTCTCTGCAAGCCCGTGAGATGGACTACAGTTCCCAGCATCCCCTATTCAAGTGTATTTGCATGTAAAGCTGATCATCTTTCTCCTCCTCTTCCTCCTCCCCCTCCTCCCCTTTTCAGGTACCAAAACATTGAGTGGAAGCATCTCCACCATGGACACCTGTATCCGACATTTCACGGATGCCACTGGTAAGGAGTGTCTGGCTTACTAGGACAAAGAGTTGCCATCTCTGGGGGAGCCAGATCTGCTGGGGATTTATTCGTAAATGCCCCCAAAGGGTGGCCCTCACAATGACTCAGTATTGGGCATGAAAGATGAGGTCCACAAGTGGAGGTTCAGTTCCCCCAAGGGAATTCCCTGGCTGGGGAATTCTGAAATTTGAAGTGCACACATTTTCAAATTCTCATGGTTGCAAAACACCGGCGTAGAGACATAGTCAATCACAGATTCTCCTGTCTATTCAGGAGGGGTATAGAGTGGACAAGGGTTTTGTTGTCAAAGTGAAGAACCATTTGCCTTTGTGGATTCTGACTAAAAAGCAACCCCCGTTTCTATTTTGTAGCCTGTTCATTAGAAACAGCCCTGGAGGCTGCCTCTCTCCATCCTGCTCAGCTGTTAAATATCGAGGATCAAAAGGGAACCTTGGATTATGATACCGACGCAGGTATTTTAACTCTTATAAGGATTGAATTTGGATCGCAACTGTTTCCAGCTCAACATGGAATCCATTGAGAATCCTGTCACATAGACTGAGCTGAAAATAAGAGGCTGGGCTAAAACCTCCCAGATAATTCAATTGGATCTCATTCTCCTCGTTCCTGGTCCAGCAACCCCACTACTTCAGAGGTTCTGGATGGTGGGAATCCAAACCACGAATCTCTTATCTTCTTGTTCTATTTTCCACCCTTTAGATGTTAGGTGTGCCTGTGGAATTCATGGAATTCTCTCCTTGGAGGCATCCATCTGCCTCATCCTTCTCTGCTGAATGAAGGATTATGGGAGGTGTAGGTTAACCGATTGTGTGAATTTCAGTTGGGGTTGGCTGAAAGAGTTATGTCCATCTCTCCTATATTGTTAGCGCCTGAATGAGTCGGGTAACAACTCCTCAAATTCCTATCAACCAGGCTTTGGGTGGGAGGCATCATTTTCTTCTTCCTACAGATTTTGTGCTGCTGGATGAGAGACTCCGTGTACAGGCCACTTATATTGCCGGCGAAGAGGTCTGGAGACAAGACAACTTCATCATCTGAAGTTGTGCAGAGCTGGATGGGCAGAGCTTCGGATCAAAGGAAGAAGGGGACTCAGAGTGGCCCACAGCTCCATTTCCCCCCCAAAGCCTTCTGGTTTGCCTCATTTTTCTCCACAGACTCTCTCCGAAAAGTCCTGCTCAAACTGTAGCACTGGCTGCCCTCCTCCCTGTGGAGGATGGTAGAACTTTTCTTCTCGACTTGATCCAGGTAGCTGTCCCACAGACATGAGGTGGGACTCCTTCCAGAACTTGACAGGGGCTTTCCTCACTATTCATCAAGGAACTTACTGTACTGGGGAACAGCAGCCATTTTTTTCCCCCAGAGTGCCTCATTCTTTTGTCTTGCAACACAACCTCTTGAATATTTGAATGATGCTTTGGCAAGGGGTCATCTGCTTTGATCCCATGTAAAGCCAACTCTGTACAGCACTGTTACAGCTGACTATATTTGTCTAAGCTAAAAATCTGGGGTGACATTAAACCCAAGGCAAAATGTGCATCCTGCAAAAATCATTTGTTTTGACAGCCTGGGAGCCATTTCTGACCACAATTGCTGAAATCTGTAGAATGTTTTTATTTCATTTTGAACCTGAAAGGTTGAGAATATAGAATAATAACAGAGTTGGAAGGAACTTTGGAGGTCTTCTAGTCCAACCTTCTTCTCAAGCAGAAGACCTTATACTAGTCCGGACAAATTAATGAAATAATTAAATTAATGAAATAATAAAAATTAAAATAAGTGCAATATTTTTAAAGCCTCCCAAATTCCACCCAAAAGAAATACATTTATACATACATACATACATACATACATACATACATACCCTTTTACAACCCTGAAATCCTTTAATTTGGAGTAAAGTTGGGATGGTTAGATAGAGCTGAGCATTTACTGGCCAAATGCCCTTCCTGATGCCACAACCTAGGAGAGAAATATCTGTTGCTACCAAGGATTGAGGCAAGAAATCAACAATGGCAATAAGCTTTTTAAGGGTATAATAATTTTAGATGGTGAGATTCATTGATTTGAACAAAGATTTTTGACATCTGGAGGCCACATTTACCTATAAACTCTAAAGATATATTTCAGTTAAAAGGTTTGTGGAAATAAAAGTTAATATTTTTCCTGTCTAAGATTAAGAACCTTCTGAAATATACCCATAGACATCCAAAGGTTCATTGGCCCCCAGGTTAACCATTCCTTTAAGAGCACGCAATATTTGGAGAAGGAAGATTCTATCAGCAGATGACCTCGGTTCACGCAATATTCCTAGCTATGAACACACTGGCCATGCTTCACGCTGCACATTGAGTCAAACGTATGGATAACAACATTGTTTACTTCATTCTCCTGCAAGTCGATGGATCACAACACCTATGATCATTCAATAGCATTGTTGGCTGGGAATGATGGGAGATGTGGTCCAACCCAATTTTTCACAAAGAAGACCATATTAAAAGGCGGGAAGTCAGTGCTGTTCCTTTTACAAAATGGAATTTTTGGCTTCATGGCATGCCGTGTTTTTTCTTCTTTTTTGCCATGCTGTGAATTTAGATTTTCAGCCATTGCAATTCCAGCCAAGAACCAATTTTATCTGATTCTTTTAATTTTGGAAATTTTTCTTAAGAGCATATATTTTGTAAAGAGAAAATGTTCAATCCACAACCAATGTTTCTTCAACAGAGGGTGGGTGAATGTTCACTTTCACTAAATCTATTTGCTGGGATGATTTTGGCTGATGAGTGCCATCAAGTAATTTTTAACTCCTAGCGACCGCAGAGGTAGATTTTCTACAAGATGAACAGTGTCTAACGTGGTCCTTCAGATCTTCCAATAATGCCTAATCCCTAACTGAGTTCATCCCCCTTACTGCTGATTCTTTCCTCCCACCTTTCCCAACATTAGAGAAAAAGAAAAATCACCACTGGATCATTGAATGCAAAAATCTACCCTTTCAACAAGTTAAGAAAAAAATGACTGGTATGCAAGAACCAATTCTCCAGATATTTGGGCAGCTTAAGAAGACATTCCCAGACACTCTAGAATAGGGGTCTCCAAACTTGGCAACTTTAAGACTTATGGACTTCAATTCATAGCTGACTGGAATTATGGGAGTTGAAGTCCACAAGTCTTAAAGTTGGCACGTTTGGAGACCTCTGCTCTGGAAGAATAGGAATAGTAGTCCAAAGCAAGTCTTTACAGACAGATCCAGTTCTTTTGGGTAGGAGAAAAACGACTTCCTAGCCAATCGGAGGGAGGAACGACTTCAGGGCGGAACTGAGTTCCCCGAACGCCGGAGCGACGGGGGAAGCAGTCCAGCGACGGAAGGGGCCCGCGTTGCTCGTGTTTTTGGTGGGATCTCAATGGAGTAACTTACTATTAAGTGCAAGAAACTGGACTTAGGTCTCAGTGCTGTCTTTCAGAGTGGATTGATCCGGATTGGAGTGAGGGTGGAGGAATCTATGTAAATTTAAGGGGAGAGGGGGAACGGAGCGCGGCCTGGTCGGGCATGAAATCTGGAGTCGGGAAGCCTCTGAGTGTTTTTAATTTCAGTTTCCAATAAATGCAGATTATTAAGAGCTCGACAGGCCGGTCGGGCTATTAATAATCTGCATTTATTGGAAACTGAAATTAAAAGGCTGGTTCTCTACTTTAGGGCAACAGATGCACGATTTGAGATTAGGTTTATATTAGCAAGCCACTAATGTTTTACTTCTCCGTCCTCCTTCGGTCTGTCTTGACTTTCTACTAACTCCTCCTCTTACTACTACTACTACTATTTTATTATTATTGTTATTATTATTATTAGTTGTGATTAGGAATTCTCTTTGCAAACTCTGGTTAATTTTAAAGTGTAATACTTTCTGTTTGCATTTTTAGAGACCTGAAATAGAACTGGAAATAGAGGTATGGCATTGCCCCAGAGCAAAATGTATTTGTGTTGAGAATAAGTTCCATTATCTTGCAAAAAAAAAAAGTATGTATATGTAATTTATTGTTAATAATTAAATTTACAGACCAGTCATGTCACAGACTCTGGGCAACATATTATTAAAAACATAAATACTGTACACAAAACCATATTAAAATTAGATTTTTATATATTTATAAATAAATTTATATATGTAGATTTAAATATATTTTAGTTAATTCAAGGCTACTATTTTTTCCAGTACAACAACTCTTTGAGGTGATTTGGCCCAAAATCATCCAGCCGGGTTTTTATGCCTAAGGCAGCTTTCTGGGAGTTGAAGTCCACAAGTCTTAAACTTGCCAAGTTTGAAGATCCTTGACCTAAGGCATGACTAGAACTCAGTCTCTTGGTTTTTAGGCCAGGACCTTCTCCACCACACCAAATTGACTCTCAAAATTCTTGATATTCTAAATAATCAGAGTATCTGGGACCAGGTAGATTCCTTTGTTTCTTACTGCTTGTTTTCTGCTGTTTCAATGATTTGATGATCTCAGTAGAGCCATTCTGGAGCCTTCTGTCATTTCTTTGTTTATAATTTGGTTTGGTTTGATGCCACTTGACTCCAATGACTCTGGGCAGTTCACAATACACTAAAAATTATAAATATATACATAGTTCAGATCTTGTATGCCAATGAAGTGGGCTGTTTATGAGAAAACAAATTTTAACGAATTCTTGATCTGAATACATGAGAGTTTTAATATTTTAGACATAATATATTGCAATGTTATTACTAGCATAAAGGAAAAATAGAATGGAAAAAGCTTCAAAGAAGAGAACTTTGTAAAGCTATCCACACAATATAGAAAATGTCACTCCTACAAATGCTTATCAGTTATGTAGCATACATAGTTGGGCCTTTCGAAAAAAAGATTTCACGATAATGTTCTTGTGTCACTTTGTATTACTAGGTGAACGGGAGAGAAAGTATCTGGAGATTTTATGTGAACAATTGTAAACTTTCTTAATGGAAGAGGTAAGGTGTGTGTTTCTTATGGCAACAGATGTGGCAAACTGCTTTGTTTTGCTTAAGATTAAAGTAGTCTAAATGCTCAGAAATAGCTAACTGTCAGAGTCCTGCAATTTTAATTACTGTGTAGCACAGGAAATATTAGCAAGCACAGCCATTTTGCCACAACCAACACTACTGGGATTTAAAAGTTATTTAGGTTTTGCACACAGGCATGTGCAAACCACCTTTTAAAAAACATCGGCCCTTAATGCTTGTACATTTCCCATTGATCCAGGCTCCCAAACCAACATTTCAGGATGAATTGGAATGGTGCATCACTCAACTGGAGACTGGCCTTTTGCGTCTTAACCCAACTCCACAACAAGGTGAGTTATAAATAATAAAACCTCTTCTAGTGGAGCCATTTGAAACACTTCAGTGTTTCTGAACCTCACCATTTCTAGGATATGTGACTTCTACACCCAGAATTTTCTACCTAGCATGCTGACTGGGGAATTCTGGGAGTTGAAGTCCACACATTGAGGTTGGGAAACCCTGCTGTAGATCACAGGCACATGAAAATAATGCCAGTTTCTGGCAAAAACTAAATTGTGGTGCCATGACAATGGGGCATTGCAAATGGCTGTAAGTGCGGATTGGTTGCCAAGTGTCCAAAATTACATGACCACAAGGGAGATAGCCATTTGAACTTCAAAGTTTGGGTTGTAATTCACTCTGAGGAGGTCTGTCGTAACTTCAAACAGTTGCTAAGTGACTGGTCATAATTCAAGGACTACTTGTAATGCCAGATTTTCATGAGTAACGTTTACATTCTTTATCTCTGAGAGCAGCCGATGAAACACGCCACATCCTTAAAGTATTGCGCTCCCGTAAAGCTCCCCTTGTGAAGAAGCGGCAAATGATGCGCCATGTCTTTGGAGATTACCGTCTCAAAATGGCTGAAGAAAACGAGAGAACAGCCAAAGCTGGTGAGTGGGCAGGTCTTGCCTTTTGTGTCGGTCACTCACTCATGCTACTTCTCCCAATTCTTTCATCCATGTGTAGAGAAATTCTCAGACATTCAGGTCATGGTTGTCCCAAAGGTGCTTTTTCAGGAGACAATTGGACTTTCGTTTTCTTTTGAAGAGGTTTTGCTTCTCGTCCAAGAAGCTTCTTCAGCTCTGACTGGATGGTGGGGAATGGAGGGATTTATATTCCTTGCAGACAGCTGGTCATTTGCATCCTTTTAGAGAGCCCTTGAGGCCACTTGGAGGTTTATCTGTGTCCTCAGAGACTGTGTCTTTTGGTTCTTTCCTGCTATAGTCACCACCTGAATGGGTTTGTCATGGCTTCCGCATGCCAATGATCCTTCCCTTAAAAAAAAGACAGTGCTTTCGTTTGCTCTCCTTCCTTCTTTTTAATCTGGTGTGCTGTGAGGGCAGATAAAGTTTGCTTTGGCTTGAGGACAGATCACTCGTACAGGATATCTGCAGGTAGAAGGTGGGGTTGTCTGAAAGTTGCTCACCTTTATCCTAGATCCAAGCAACATTGTCCCTAACCAAGACCCCACGTTATAGAATGAAAAGCCCACATACCAAGACACTGTCATCCAATTTATCATGCTATTTAGAAGCCGCTAGCAGCTGTTGCCTAGTCAGCTGGAGTAGCCTCCTGTAACTTGAGGCCTTCCCCACATTATGATTTACAGCTTTCGTTTTTGCTGCCTGTGACCATGCTGGCAAGTGATGAGGAATCTTAAGCTCCACAACGGGAAATGCACCAGCTCAGACAAGATTAAGCCAAGGGGGCCAACTGCAAAAGACGAGCGTAGAACCCCATTCCTTTAATGGACATTGGAGAGCAAAGAGGGTTAATGGTAAGACTGCTGGAAAAAAAAATATGGATGGAAATTGCTTCAGCCAAAGTGAGCCCTTCGGTTTTTCTTTTGATGAAATAGCCATCCTGCACTTGCCTTAACTGACACCCAGTCCTGTCTTCTCTGAGATCCAGCCTAGCAGCTAGGGATGTGGCCAAAAGAAATGGAGGCGGTCAGCTCACGTGAACAGAACAGACAGATAAGGAACCAGAGGAGGAAAGCTTCAGGCACTGACAATCTGGAAGGACTATACTCTTTTCTGTTTCTTCTGTCGGCTGAAGCCTCGGGATGCTTGTTTTTGCTGCTGCTAAAAATCTAAATTCGATCTCCCAGTAGAGAAGGGAAATACAGGTAGATATCGTAATGGAGCTCGTTGTCATGCTAGGTACCTAAAATTCAGTCGTATGACTGTGGAGGTGGCCCAACCGTTATAAATCTAGGTCATAAAGTTCCCTTTTTGGGGTCTGTCGTAACTTTGAACGATCACTAAGCGACCAGTCGTAAATCAAGGACTACCTGTAGCCAACTCATCAATCAATTGGGAAGAGATGAAGCCATTATTAGGAGGCTGTTACAAAGGCAGCTTCTCCTCTACAGTATACATCTAAAAAGGCTTGGGGACTTTTTCAATCTCGAGCCAAATTCCACAACATTCAGTTTATGTTTCATGTATTATGTATGACATATGTTGTTTATTTGTGTAAAGATTTGGTGCTTTGGATTGAGCGTGCTTTGGTGATTTAATGGGAGTGTCCCATGTTTCTGTTTCTGACCTGTAGGTGTGACGCCCATGCAGGTAGAAATGCAACAAGGAAACAGCCTTCCTTCGGGCAGCATGATGTATAGGAAGCAGCAATCCAGCAGTCCTTCTGAAGCGTCGACTTCCTTGCTTGCATCCTCAGATAACAGCTTTCAATTTAACTTTGTCCTACCTGAAGGAGCCACAGAAGAAACGGATAGAACCACAGCAGAAGAGCATGGATTGGGTGACTCCAGGGAACAGTCTGCTGGTAACGATCTCTCTAGGATGCTGGACTTCTCCGCTGGAACACAGCAGCCTGGCTTTGCTTTCAACTTCACCATCCCAGAGGCTTCCTCACCTTCAGGGGATGCCGTAGATCCTGGCTGTGGAGCTTCAGCAGAAATAGCTCCAGAGAGCTGTTTCATCTCATCCAAGAAAGCTGTGGTGACAACAGCCTCTCCACACTCTGATAGAACTGACGCGAAGGATTGTGTAAGCAGACACAGAGAAGAACATCCTCTGCAAGAGGCACCAAGATTGGAAGCCACCCAAGTAGGTATGGGGACCACTAAGTTTTAATTGAGCCTTGGAAAGAAATATGTACTTATTGATCTTATGTAAGTTGGCAACTAATTCCAGTACTAACTCAATTATAAGTGGTGCTGGCTTCTATCTCTATAATAATAGAGTTTATTATAGATAGTCTTCATTTAACTATGGTATTTGATGCCAGAATTCCACTGCTAAGCAATACTGTACAACATCACATGACCACACTGGCTTATGACAGCAGCTGTGGCAGTCCCCATCGCTGCTGTTGGGGGAATCCTATGCAATCACAACATGTTATGGGCGCATAATCACCATTTGCTTCCCCATTGATTTTGCTTATTTGAAGCCTGCAGCAAAGATCACAAATGGTGATCACATTAACCACAGAATGTGGTGACATCGTTGTGAGCCGATTGCCAAGCGCCCACATCGTGATCATGGAGGTGCTGTGGGGGCTGCAACTATGGGGTCCTATCCTAAGAGCCGTGGTGGTGCAGTGGTTAGAATGCAGTACTGCAGGCTGTTTCTGCTGATTGCCGACTGCCTGCAGTTTGGCAGTTCAAATCTCACCAGGCTCAAGGTTGACTCAGCCTTCCATCCTTCCGGGGTAGATAAAATGAGGACCCAGATTGTTGGGGGGCAAGAGGCAGACTCTAAACTGCTTAGAGAGGGTTGTAAAGCAATATATAAATCTAAGTGCTATTGCTTTTGCTTAGTTCAGCACCGTCATAATTTGTTGAGCGAGTGGACACTCAGGACTGCCTGTAATGCATTAATTATACAAAAACTGTACATAATAAAAGATACTTATTTCCCCTGGGAAACAATTTTCAGGTAAGTGAAAGAGATGCAAAGGAATATAAATCTAATGTTATCGATTAAAAATAGCAACTGATTATTTTTTAAAAAAAAAAATCGTTGGCACACAGCTTCAACAGAGACTGCGGAAGAGAAATTGGTTGTGGCAGCTGGTGGACCATCGAAGAGAAGAAAGAAAAAGAAACTCCCACCGTCAGAAGTAGCACAGGTTGACCAAGGATGTGGAGACAACAAGCTTGGTGATCAAGGAACATCTGAACAAGCTGAGATATTACAGGCATGTAAAGACCAGGTTGAACGTGAGATAAGACAAGGAGTGAGTTAAGGACTGATAGTTTTTTTAAAATTCATTGACCAAAAATTATAGACAGTAGTAATCAATGATGCAGAACTGTTCATATTAAGCCTCTACAGTAATTTATCAATATAGATAGTCCTCAACTTACAACCACAATTGAGTTGTTGAGACATATATTTTTTTCAGTACCGTTGTAACTTTAGTCACTAAACAAACTGTTGTCAGTCGAGGACTACCTGTAGCTCAGTCAAGATGGAAAGTCAAGGTGCCACTATGGTTGCATTTCAAAGCAGCTTGAAGGACTTCAGATCTTCCAGGGTGGATGCTGTCCCTTTTTCCCTGTTTGAATGCAGTGTTTGGCATTGGCCACAACCCTCCTGTAGTTTCTTTGGTTTTAGAAGAACGGGTTGTGTGAACTCATTGTGAGTTACAAACCAAGGTTTAAGTTTTAGGTTTCCGCATGCAGTTTGAACCCAGGTAGGTTGACACAATTATTAGGGCATCCGTCGGAACCCTGACAACAATGCAGTTAAAAAACAATGGTTTAGCATGATGACTGAACCAGGTCAGTACCCCTCGCCGCTTAAACTGAAATGTATCTAGCAAATCAAGAGAGACTGGCTGGGGGAATTCTGGGAGTTGAAGTCGTCCAACATCTTAAATTTGCTACGGTTGTGATTCGCTGGCAGCCTGTGCAGACGGCAGCGGAATCGGACAGTGGGGAAAAACGGGGACCAGTCAGGATGTCTGGAGAGGATTTGGACGAGGGTCCTGCGTCTGATGCAGAGATGGGGCCAGGACCATCTGGGAGTGGGGTGCTGACTCCGGAGCCTCCAGAATCTGGCAGCAGCGAGGCAGAGGAACAAGGGGAGCCTGTTCCCAGTGCACATGTGCACAGAGCTGCTAGAAGGTGAAAGCAGCTGAAACAAAAGGGGCAACTTGGGATTAAGGCTGGGAGGTGATTGCCCCTCCCCTAAGATATAAAGGACAGGCAAAAATGACTAAACCTTTGCAGGAAGCAAAGTCGTTCAGTTCAGATTCATTCTTGAAGCTCTTTGTACTTTGGTTGGTTTTTTTCTAGTTCATTTGACACTTCTGTTATTGGCAGCACTTCACAGAAAAGAAAGGTGGGTGCTTATCTCGAGGGACTGTTTAAGATTCATTACTGGCTGGGAATGAAAATAATTCCCAACATTGCAATAAAACAAGACTTGTTTTTAAAATAAGTGTGTGCATAATTACAGTCTTGGAAGTCTTGGTCAGAACAGGTTGAGAACCACTGAGTTAGAGAACTCTTGTGAGATAACTTGGAGAAGCAAGGTGCTAGAAGTAGTTAGCTTGCAGTGTCAGGCTCAACTAATTCTCATTTTCCCTCCCCCTGAATTTTAATAGGCAGATGATCAGTTGAAGAGAGAGGTAGACTGGTGTGTGGAACAGCTGGAACTCGGCCTGAAGACTCAAAAATCCACCCCAAAACAAAGTGAGTGAGCTTGCTTGAAATCAATCGTTTGCTTATTTATTTCATTCAACTTAGGCCTCACCCCTCTCCAACTCCCAACTAACTCTGGGCAGGTCGCAATATATTAACCTAAAAAAAAAAAAATCCCAATAGAAGCCAAAACAAGATGGGGTCCGATAAACCTATGCAGATGGACACAGAAATAACAAGGACCACACCCAGCATCTCAACAAACAAGTCTTCATGATTTTATGGACCTCCTACTGGTTGGGGGGGACACATGAACTTCAAGGCTGCAATTATCAAAAGTTTGTGCTAGACAGTGATTCTCCATAACAAAGAACCTTGCAGGAATCAGCAGGTGGCAGCAGTCAGCCAACCTTGAATTATCTCAAAAAGGATCAGCAGTGTTAGGTGTGATCTGTATTTGGATGGAAAACCTCCAGACAGGCCTGAGAAAGAAGGTTGGGCAGCCATTTGTCTGACATGTTATAGAGTTTCCTGCTTGAGCAGGGGCTTGGGGATGACCCGGAGCGTGGCACAAAGGCAACACAGTCAGATAATCAGTAGGAGTCACTTTATTAGCTCCAACTTTGCCCCCCGTCTCCTGGTTACCTTCTGGGCTGGAGAAAAACTCTCCCAGGAACAGCCTTTGGCTGCAGGGAATCAAGTCCAAAACGTGGTCAACGAAAACCGTAACTATAAGTCCAATCAAGGCAAGATGAAGTAATTAGTCTGGCAGGGCAGGAGCAAGAATTCCAGATGTGAAGGCACAGCAATAACTCAACACGGTTGGGAAGACACCAGGAACACAGATAACCAAAGCCAACACAAGATAAACTCACGTTTGTTCCCAGCACGCGCTGCACTCAGCATGCATTTCTTTTAAACTCTCATCCCCAGCTGTGGCTAATGAAGGGAATCAGGGCCCTTTCCTCCCCTGTAAGCCATGCAACCCACATTGCTCTCTCCTCTGTTCCTCCCTGCATGCCCTAGAATAAAGAGCGGGTGGGCCTGGGTCTTCCTCTGAACTCCTTCTCCCTTGTTCTACCTCTTCCCTGCTCTGCCCAGCCGGAATTTGACCTTTCCTCCACAGCCAACAGAGCCACACTCCCACTCCCTGTCAGCTGTTCGTCTTCCTCCTCGGATTCAGACTCCGACAGGGGAAGGACACTAGAAGACTTCCAAGGTCCCTTCCAACTCCATTATTCTGTTATCTAGGCACCTCTTGTTCCTGGAGTCTTTCCTGTTTTTGGATTGCGGTCTTTCCCAATCGCTTACACTCATCCTTTCATTGACCTTGATTGAACAATGGAACAGTCCCGATTCATTTATTACTTTGAGGATGTCCCTTCCAGGATTTGTCAACATCCTCTCAAGGAGACTTAAAAATGCAGGGTGGATTCCAATAATATCATGACACAGAGATATCAAATGGCAATTCCAGAAGCAGACAGTGACCAAATGACAACAAACCTAACTTATTCGCTTCTGAATTTTATCTTGGGGGGAAAATAGATCTGCTGCATGTATTTATTTAGCAGGTTTTAAAAGGTATTTAATTTTCCATCACCCTAAATTTGTATTCAGGCAGTCCTCAACTTACAGCCACAATTGCGACCAGAATTTCCATTGCTAAGAAAGGCAGTGATTAACTGAGTCCCATCTGATTTTACAACCCTTTTTTTTTGCCACGGTTGTGACGCGAATCACTGCAGCTCTTAAGTGAATCACATGGAAAGAATGAATTGACAGTCACTACAAGACATCTGAAGATGTATTTTTGCTGCACGTCCTACTGAGATCATCCGTGTCCTTGACCCTTGATGCCTTTGAGGAATGGCAAATGATCGCTCCTTTGGGGTAAAGGGTAGAACAATTTTAGCTGGGTGACATGATAGCGGTCTTCCAATATTTGAGGGGCTGCCACAAAGAGGACAGGGTCAAGCTATGCTCCAAAGCACTCAAAGGCCAGACAAGGAATAATGGACAACTGCAGCTGAGTTGTTCCACAGATTAATTGTTCTCCCTGTCAGGAAATGTCTCCTTAGTTCTAAGTTGCTTCTCTCCTTGATTAGTTTCCACCCATTCTTTCTTCTCCTGCCTTCAGGTGCTTTGGAGAATAGCTTGACTCCCCCTCTTCTTTGTGGCAGCCCCTCAGATATTGGAACACTATCATGTCTCCCCTAGTCCTTCTTTTCATTAGACTAGACATACCCAGTTCCAGAATGGTGTAGGGTCCTCCTATTTGAGCAGCGGGTTGGACTAGATGACCTACAAGGTCCCTTCCAAGCCTGTTATTCTGTACTCTGTTTAATCTTTCCAGAGGAGGAAGCTGTCCGTGCCATCAAGACGTTACGCAGCAAAAAAGCAGTGTTGGCGAAGAAGCGCCAAGTGATGCGCCTGATGTTCGGCGACTACCGAGCAAAAATGGCGGAGGAAAGGCAGAAGCAGCTGAAGCTCTTGCAAGCAGGTCGGGAGAAAGGGGCTTTTTATTTTTTATCCCAGTTTTATTATTTTATAGGTAGGGAGCAGGTTGCAAGTTGGAAACGGCCTTCAAATATAAGTGATTTGTTTGTTTGCATCCCGCTTTATTATTTTTAAAAAAATAACTCAAGGCAGTGAACATATCCAACACACTTTTCCTCCATAACAACAACCCTGTGAGGTGGGCTGAGAAAGAGGAGGGGGGGACTGGTGCAAAGTTATCCAGCTGGCTTTGGTGACTAAGGCGGGCTAGAACTCACCGTCTCCTGGTGATTGGCTCAAAGTCACCCAGCCGGCTTTCATGGCTAAGGCGGGATTAGAACTCAGTCTCCTGATGATTGAACCAAAATCACCCAACCAGTGTTCATGCCTAAGGTAGGACTAGAACTCACCATCTCCTGGTGATTGACCTAAACTCACCCAGCTGCCTTTTTCATGCCTAAGGTAGGACTAGAACTCACCATCTCCTGGTGATTGACCTAAACTCACCCAGCTGGCTTTTTCATGCCTAAGGTAGGACTAGAACTCACCATCTCCTGGTGATCGACCTAAAGTCACCCAGCTGGCTTTTTCATGGC